TGAAGGATGAAGAGCGGCTGGGGGATTCAACGGTGTGAAATGAACACATGTTTGTGTACTTTGAAAATAATGGCGCTCGTATAAAAATAGATGGATAAAGTGATAAAGGTTGGAGTAATTAAAACAGACCAGTAAATGAAGGAAAAATGAATGTGAGCTTCTACCTGACAACTACAATCACAGCGACTGTTTAGATCTCAGGGAAAAAAAAAATCTAATTTAACAGTGAATCGTAAGAATTCAATTTCTAAATTAGAAACTCGTGATCCTCAATCTTAATACTTTTCTTATTAGAAAATTAAAAACTTCTAATATTTTTATCTGCACAAATATATATATACATACATATATTTAGATTAACATCTAGGAATGCAAAAATAATAATAATAATAATAACTGCATTTTTCTATGTTTTCTCTTTAATAATCCTTACTGATTAGTCACTGTCTCGGATGTGTGTTTGAAAATACAAACCACATCCAGAATCGAGGGAAAGAATAAAAGCAGCTGCTGTAAAAAGACACAGACTCAGATTCAGAACCTGCTTTAAAACATCCAGGAAAGGGTTCTGGTCTCATCTACATGAATGAAACGACTGAACGCGACACCATGTGAGCGACATGTTTTTCAAACAGATGAGTCAATGAAACAACGGAACGAGCCCGGCCGCAGCAGCAGCAGCGGCGGCGGCAGCAGAAGCATCGGCAGCAGCGAAGAAGCATCTTTGTTTTCTCCGGCAGTGGAAAGCAGGCAGTCAGACACCATTCATGTAAAAATGTCCTCAGGAGCATACAGCAGGGGCTGAGAGACCCACACTCATTCATAAGCAGCTTCCTCTCTCACTCTGCTCTGCAGATTTAGCACTGCAGTCCCTCCCAGCATCTCTCTCTTTCCTGTCTGGCCAATATAGAAGAAGGGAGGAAAAAAAGAGATAGCAACGTCTGCCTTCTTCCTCAGAAACCAAAAAGGCAGATAAGAGCGAGGACAGACATGCACGGCCTCCGTGAAGCAAAAAGGGGGAGGCAAAAAAAAAAAGGCAGAGGAGTGGAGGAGCAGCAGCAGAAGAAGAAGACGAAATGATGCAAGATTTAGGCTTTTATGTGAATGGAATAGCAGGCAGTCATACCAACGTTTCTGTGAATGGAAGCAAGGCCTTTCTGCCTCTGCAAGGCAATCCCTAGGGATGGCATAGTCCTGTCCAATGAGCAGCCAGCAGGATGACTCATTCGGGGGAGGCTTGCAGAATAGTGGAAGAGACCATTTCAGATGCAGGTGCACATTTTAATTTCGGCCAAATGTCTAATCCAAATGACCCGAACGGCGTCGGATTAGAGACGTTTGTCAAGTGTTAACGATCACATTGACCTGACGAGGAAGAGGAGGAGAGGGAAAACATCAAGAGCAGGAAATGAAATAGAGCACAGCACCCCCGCAGGATTTTGACTGTCACCATTACCAGCATCTTTTTGCTTTTTTTAAACCACCACATTCATGTGAACAGTTGCCGCCTACACATTTAATTAGTAATTTATTGTTTGTTGGTAAGGACAAATGGTATGTTTTCATGCTAGCCCTTAGCCAGAGAGAAGACCTGAAACAGTAACCAACCAAAACGACCCAGATCAGCATGTGTGATTTACTTTGCACTAAAATTGTGTTTTTATAGTATATAGAGTATTTCATCTTAGAGGCAGACATTAAGGGTTTTTTTTAATTGATGAACAGTGGATGGAAAATACTACAGCAGGAGAACAAAAATGGCTGACTAATATACTGTATATATTAGTGATTCTTTGAGAAAAAGAGAAACGACTCCAACAAGGTGTACAAAAAAAACATGTAGCGTCCTGTGTTTTTTCAAAATATGCTGTTACTTTGTATTAAATTGAGTCAAAAATCCCTTAGACTCACAGAGTGACTCTTTGCAACTCACACGAGCCGCCACAAGAGGCACCATTAAGTATGGTGGTTTCTCTGGGGCTCAAACCCAGGACATTCCATGTGTAAGGCAGATATACAATACAAGCGTGATGACAGCTACACTATGGAACTGCCACGCAAAGGAATATCTTTTTATAAACTTGTATTTAGCTGATTGTCAAAGCAAAGATGAGAAAAAAATTATAAAATTTATACAAATAAAAATTTGGAAAAAAAAGACTGGACAGGTCTATTGCTGTTTTTTTTTTTTCAATTAATCCCCATTATTATGTCAGGAACATTTGCAGGAACCATTTGGTACCATTAGTACTTTGGGGACATTAGATTTACGATCTCTTAACTAGTATTTTCCCTACCTGCTCTACCTCTGTAAACAATA